GAACAGTAAACAACATCATGATCAACTGAAAAAGATGAAGTTGTCAAGGTTTTTATCTTGCTTGGATCTATAATCAATGCTCATGAAAGCAGCAGTCAAGGATCAAATGATGCGTTGTATTGGGTAAATCTGCTGCACAAGGCCTCTTTAAGGTGTTGAAAAGCAAAGATGTTACTTTGAAGACTAGGTTGTACCTGACCCAAGCCTCGGCATTTTCAGTCATCTCGTATGCATGTGAAAGTTGCACATTGAATAAGAAAGACAAAAGAAGAATCAATGCATCTGAATTGTGGTGCTGATGAAGACTATGGAAAGTACCAAGGACTGCCAAACGAATTAACAAATCTGTTTTGTAAAAGGTACAGCCAGAATGCTTCTTAGAAGCAAGGATGGCAAGACTTTATCTCATATACTTTGGACATGTTATCAGGAAAGACAAGTTCCTGGAAAAGAACAATATTCTTGTTAAATAAGAGAAAGACCTATGACGAGATAGATTGACACAGTAGCTACAACAATGGACTGAAACATATAAACAATTGTGAGCACAGGACAAGACTAGGCTATGTTTTGTTCTATTGTATGTAGAGTTGCTATAGGTCAGAACTGACCCAACAGCACCTACTAATACTGCACGGGGAAGCCAGCCCCTAGCACATCATCACGGGTCCAGTAGGCGCAGTTGTACAGTGATAATAAGTAAAGATTATTGTAAAGTCATAGCATGTGAGAGTGAAGAGAAATAATCAAATAATGAAGTCAGACACAATTCATGGTAGCAGTGCTCACCTCAGCCCCGCTTGGTGATCCATGTGGAGAGAGCGCCGATATTTAATGCAAACCAAGGCTTTTATATTCTCTGGGGATATGCAAGCCCCCTAATTACAGGTGAAGATATACATCACAGGAAAGGGTTGTGCTATAGATAGTACAGTAATGGAAGGGGGTGGTCTAGGGGCATATGCACAATAGGAGGAGGAGGGATTGGGGGTATGCATGTGACAAGATGGGCAGATCCTAGATTCAGGATGGCAGCTTTTCTTTGGATGTTCTGAGCGTTCTCTGGATCTCCATAGGAACTATTAGCAGTAGAGTGTAAACCCCACCTACAGGAAGCAAGCTAATGGTCACAAGCCTTAGGGAGTCCATTGTCCCCAGCAGCAGGGAGCAGGCCCACCCCTTGGGAAATAATTTTTATTATTAGCTGTAAGCAGTGTCCTAAGTCTAACTTATTTGGGGGAGAAGACTTGGAAGAAATCTTTCTGTTTTCCACATAACACCATACGAGTTACTATGCATTTGTATATTATCTAGCTCTGTCTGTTAAGAAGGCCTATCGCAGTGATCACACTAAGAGCCCAGAAATAGCCTTATTTATTTATTTTCTTTTTTGCTGACCTCCCTCTTTTTATATATTGCCTTCCCCTTCATTCAAACAAATATATTTGCCCTAAAGCAGTGGCTCTAAACCTTCCTAATGCCTCAACCCTTTAATACAGTTCCTCATGTTGTGGTGACCCCAACCATAAAATTATTTTCGTTGCTACTTCATAACTGTCATTTTGCTGCTGTTATGAATTGGGCGACTTCTGTGAAAGGGTTATTTGACAACCCCCACCCCAAAGGGGTCGCAACCCACAGGTTGAGAACCGCTGCCCTAAAGTTAGTGATAAAGAGTATCTGGCGTATCTACAACATCATAATATCTAAAATCAAGAACAAGGCAAGGGTCCCTGCTCTGTCACTTCAGTTCAACATTAATTATACTGATGGTTTTAGCCATTGTAATAGACAAGAAAATGAAATAAAACGTATTCAAGTAAGAAAACATTCTCCTTGAAAATGACCTGATCATATTTGCAGAAAAACCTGAAGATTCTATTTTTTAAAATGCTATTAGAATGAGAGAGTTTAGCATTTTGGAAGGATAACACTCAATATGTAAAAATTCATTGTATTCTATATACCAGCAATGAGCAATCAGAAATTGAAACTTAAAAGCAGCATAATTTAAATGGCACACACACAAAAAAACAAGAGAACACAAGAATAAATCTAACAAAAGTCTGTGTTATGGATTTAATTGAGTCAGTGGGCAAGGACCCCTGGTGGTACAGTGGTTAAGCACTTTGCTGCCAACCAGAAGGTTGACAGTTTAAACCCACTCAACTCTGATTTGTATCTCACGCCGTTAATACAAATAAACTCAAATCACAGACCTAGATATAGAATACAACTTTAAAAAAAAACTTTAGAGAAAATTTGATGTTAGGATAGGCAAAGATTTCTTTAATAAGATACAAAAAAAAGATACAAAAAGCCGAAAATTTTGATAAATTGGACTTTTCAAAAATTAAGAACATCTATTCTTCAAAGGACACTGTTTAAGAGTGAAAAAACAAAAGACGTTTTGGAAGACAGTATTACAAAAGCAAAGAATGAATAAAATTGGGATACCAACTGCATGTGAGGGGACAGAGAATAAGTCAGGGCATAGGGAGGCAGAGTGGACTGCCAAGATTATGATATCACTCTTTTTCTTAAATTAGATGATAGGTGACTAGTCATTTTATCGGTATTCTTTTTTAACTATTATTTTAAAATATAATTTACATGCCAAATAGTTTCTAGGCTAATTCCTATGAATTGGAAGTCAGACATACCTCCTGTCCAACCTTTTACAAATTCTGACGCCAATCATCCCTCTCACGGCAGGCATTATTTATTTCTACGCTGGGGTTGATAATTAATGTCAGTCAGTGGTCACATAAAACTCTCACACTTAGGGGTTTATTAGGGAAGTAACGGTACAATTTTGGATCAGGAGGTAATTCTTCAGACTGGACACCTCCTCTTTGACAGTGTCCACAGATAGTCCTCTTAGTCCTTGATTTCTCACTCCTCGATTTGGCCTCTGCTCTGCTCAGACAAGTGTTACAGTTCTACCAATAAGAGCTTGGAAGCACTCCCACTTAAATTCTCCTTACTTTTATGTACTTGATTCTCTAGCTCTGTGGGCCAGGAAGCCAACTGTGCCATCTTGTGCCAGTCTCCGGGATCTACTGCTGCTTTTTCCTGCTGCTTGACTCTACTATGCTTGCTGCTACCTCTTCTCATCAATACTTTCTCCAGTGTTAGTGCTTTATCTCCTGGGTCTAGGAGGTTCTTAGTGAAAGTACACTAGAGGGTTAGCAAAACTGATCAGCCCTCTCACTAGAATTCCATACATCTTATGTGCTTGGTCCCATCCTCACAAAGGTTTCATGTACCTTATTTGTATTGGAAAAACTGTCCAATCTCTTCGGTGAGTCACAATCACCCTATTTACATAGTCACACTCAGTCATTCTGTAGGAGTTACAAGACTATCCATAACTCCAAGACCCATAGTAAGTAATTCACTGAAGTACAATATTCAGAGCTGTATAACCTTCATAATTTTAGAACAGTTTCATTATCCTCAAAAGAAACTCCTTTCCTAGCCTTAGGCCAAACCCAATGCCATGGAGTTGATTCTGGTCCATAGTAACCCTTGGCAACACTAATATGCTCTCTATCTCTATAGCTATGCCTATTCTGAAATTAATATAAATTGAATAGATAATATGTGATATTTTGTGAGTGATTTCTTTCATTTAACATAATATTTTCAAGATTCGTCCATGATGGACCATCTACCCATACTTTACTACATTCTATTGCCTAATATTTCATTTTATGGATTTATCGTATTTTATATGCTCGTTCATCAAATGATAAACATTTGGGTTATTTTCATATTCTCATTCTGGAATACCAATCATTTTATAATATACTTCTTTTGAGATGCTGCCCCTAGATTAAACTCTAGAAAGGTAATGGTGACAACACTGAAGGTGGAGTTGGTGTTGCAAAGCTCAGGGCTGAAACTGGATACAAGAGGTCATAGGGTGCTGTGGGTGGGGCTTGCTGCTGTTCTGACCTATAGAAGAGACCCATGAATCCTCCCCTTTCAGGAAACTATAAAGCAGTGGTTCTTAACCTTCCTAATGCCTCGACCCTTTAATACAGTTCCTCATGTTGTGGTGACCCCCCTAACCATAAAATTATTTTCTTTGCTACTTCATCACTGTTATTTTGCTACTGTTAAGAATTGAGAGACCCCTGTGAAAGAGTCGTTTGACCCCCTAAGGGGTCATGACCCACAGGTTGACAGTCGCGGCTATAAAGGGTTGACTTTCTGCTCCTTCCAGCCCTAATATATGGTGTGTCCTATCATTCCCTGACTACAGCCCATTCTCCAAACCAGTGCCTGTTCCCTGTGCACTCTCATTTGCATGTGCTATCATATATCCTCAATGTCTCTATCTGTGATTTAATGAACAATCATGTTCAGCACCCATGCCCCTGAGCCAGCCCATGGAGCCCTTTGACTTTTGAGACCAATTCTTCCCCATCTATACTGCTACTTCCAAGCACTTGTTATCTCTGCCTAAACTTAGCAAGAGATTATCTTCACATCTCTATCTGCATTCTTTACCTTAACAATGTATTTTTCACATAATATTACCTTCTACAAATAAAAGATAACAAACTCTTCTACACCTGCAACATATAAGTGTGTTGGGTCCTCGTCCCTAGGACTACATCCTCCTGCTGACTTGTGTACAATAAGCTCACACCTCTCCTATACATTTCCTTGATCAGGCATCCCATCTATGTGCTCCTGATGTCTGTCCTGCAAAGCTTTCTAAATCACAACATTTATTTCCTCCAAAGTGCCTCTGAAAACCTGGTTCACAGTAGAGCTGTGGAGAGGGCAAGGATACAGGCAACAATAGGCTCAAACTAGAGTTTACATCATTCTCTCAAACCCTTCACTTAGCCTTCCTGTTTAAATATATGTCATCTTATTTCTAGTTGGTTGTCCCTTTAACTTTTCAACAGCAAAACCAGTTCTAGAGTTCTATTTACTCTACATTTGCAAATAGTGTTAACATTTTCACTTTTGATTTGTTTCAGAATGTGAAACCAAGAAAGAGAACCAAAATAGGAATTTGATTATGAAGCCTTTGATTTCAGAGGAAATATCTGTGATTCTGGGGGAAACTCCCATGGGGAGAACTGATCAAGAGTCCAGTGAAATTGAGAGAAGCTTCTATCTGGGTTTAAACTGCATTGGCCATCAGAAAGTTCAAATCTCAAGCCAGAACTTGCTCCTTACTCAGCATCCAGTGGTTCCTAATGGAGAGAAACCCTACAAGTGCATTGAATGTGGAAAATCCTTTGGTCGGAGCTCCCATCTCCTTCAACATCAGAGAATCCACACTGGGGAGAAGCCATATATATGCAGTGTATGTGGGAAAGCCTTTAGCCAAAGCTCAGTCCTCAGTAAACACAGGAGAATTCACACGGGAGAAAAGCCCTATGAGTGTAACGAATGTGGGAAAGCCTTCAGAGTGAGCTCAGATCTTGCCCAACATCATAAAATACACACAGGAGAGAAGCCTCATGAATGCCTTGAATGTAGAAAAGCCTTCACTCAGCTATCACATCTTATTCAACACCAGCGGATCCACACTGGAGAACGGCCATATGTGTGTCCAATATGTGGGAAAGCCTTTAACCACAGTACAGTGTTGCGGAGCCATCAGAGGGTGCACACAGGTGAGAAGCCTTATGAGTGCAATGAGTGTGGGAAGACCTTCAGTGTGAAGAGGACACTTATCCAGCATCAGAGGATACACACTGGAGAGAAGCCTTACACATGTAGTGAATGTGGGAAAGCCTTCAGTGACCGCTCGGTTCTCATTCAGCATCACAATGTACACACTGGGGAGAAGCCCTATGAGTGTAGTGAATGTGGGAAGACCTTCAGCCACCGATCCACCTTGATGAACCATGAGCGGATCCACACTGAGGAGAAGCCCTATGAGTGCTATGAGTGTGGGAAGGCCTTTGTTCAACACTCACACCTGATTCAGCACCAGAGGATCCACACCGGAGAGAAACCCTACGTTTGCAGTGAGTGTGGGCATGCATTCAGTGCACGCAGATCTCTAATTCAACATGAGAGAATCCACACAGGTGAGAAGCCCTTTGAATGCATGGAATGTGGCAAAGCCTTCAGCCTGAAAGCAACTCTGATTGTGCACTTGAGGACCCACACAGGTGAGAAACCGTATGAGTGCAATAGCTGTGGAAAGTCCTTCAGCCAGTACTCTGTGCTTATCCAGCACCAGAGGATTCACACAGGTGAGAAGCCTTATGAGTGTGGCGAGTGTGGGCGCGCCTTCAACCAACATGGGCATCTGATTCAGCACCAGAAAGTACACAAGAAACTGTAACCCTCAGCTGCCACAAAGCCAGGAGAATATTCACATTCAGAGAAACACATTACACACAGCACTGTGAGAAGTCTTCAGCTCAGGAGATGCTTCGGTTAATTCTGCAGGAAGCCCATCTATGGTGATTCAGTGTGAGAAAATAACTCCAAAGATAAGTTCTGGGTATATCCTTTTTATGGAAATCTTTGGAGAATGTCTGGAGGTTAGTTCAACATCTCACAGGTATATTACATAAGAACCATAATGTTAGAGTCAATTTTTCCAAAGGTTATCCATATTTTCATTAGAGGGTTCATTTAAAGCAAATATTTAAAGGAGGTTAAAATATTAGAACAGTTGTCACAGTTAAGCTTCCTTATATTCCAAAAGAACTTACTTTCCATCGAACATTAATTACATGCCTTTCCTAACTATAACTGGCCATCCTGATTTTGAGGAGCTCTGGTGGTGTAACTGAGTGGGTTTTGTGTTGGTCAGTTGTTCAAACTTACCAGCTGCTCCAGGGAAGAAAAATGAGGCTTTCTGCTCCTGTAAAGACATGCAGCCTAAGACACCCACGGGGTGGCTCACTTCTGTCCTGTGGGGTTGGTGTGAGTCATAATTGACTTGACGTCAGTGAGCATGAGACTCTAAGTGTGTGGCTGTTTTCAGTATTCTGTTGACAAAGTGCTGTGTGTGTCAGTGTAGACATTTGTTCTTAGATGCTATGTGAAATGGCTAGAAACCCTAAGCACGTGAAACTACCTGTTATGTATGGGGGAAAATGCTAGCTATACATTAGGGACAAATTTGGTAAATATATAGACCCTTTTATCTGGTGCTTTAACTTTCTTCAAGATCACAAAGAAGGTCTTGTCTTTTTTAGTGAAAATTCAACTAAAAACCCACTCTTAAAACCTTCAGAGCCTGTGCCCAAAACTGCAGGGTGTCTCAGGCCCATGAACCCCATGAAGGTGCATGAGGGGAACTCCATACTCAGAGCCCAACCCCATCGCTGCTACACCAAATGGGTGCCTCTTTAAACCTTACAGTGTTTTGTTTTTTAATAGTTATCGAAAAGACAGTACATTTAATGTATATTTTATTAACAACCAAATCCTCAAATTCAAATAGCTCTTTTTAGTTTGACAGTTTTGATTTTTGTGTTTTGTGTTTTAATTTTTATTGAAATAAAAAAATTAGTGTATTGCCATATACTATGATGAGTGAAACTTACTCACAATTAAAGTTTTGTGTTTAAGATGATCAAAATTATTTGTAATTTAATTTGTAAAGGATCCATTTCTCTTTTCAGCAAGCCACAAAAATAACAAATGTTGCAGGAGATTCAAAGCATATTAATCTTATAAAGATTTTAAGTACTAACCCAGGATTGATTAACCTTTAGGGACAGCAAATAGAATGAGGGTTTCTGGGGGTGGGGGATTGGGGGCAAAAGGGTTAAGGAATTCAGGAAAGAAAAGAAAATTTGGAAACTGATTGTGGTAGCAATTGTACCATACTGCATGGCATGATTGAAGTAGGAAATTATATATGTAGTAACTCCAATAATATATATTTTCTTTTAAAAAGAAAAAAATATGTTAAGTACTAGTAGAAGGAGAAAGATTTTTCCCTCCTTTGAAAAAATTATCCATGTCTCGGGAAAATGAGAAGCTAGGGTGTTGACCTTTTAAGTCCATAGCAATATTCTTTAATGCAGGCAAGAGCACACTGCGCCTTCTCTGTGAAGTGGAGATCACTGAGGTTTCATTTCAGAGAGAGGATAACATCACTGAGGTGTTACTTCAGAAGAACTATGATACCTGACATGTTAGCTCAGAAGTTCTCCACAACAGGAAGCCACAGATTCCACAGCTAGTAGCTTATTCAGTGGTTATTGCTCACAGTCTTCCACAACTCGGGTCAGTATTTCTACATATATGGACAAGGTAGAGTAAGAGACAAAGTCATATTCCCTCAAGATGAGTATAAAAGGTGGATTACATTCAGAATACAACAAGACTTGTCTAGTAAGTCCCTAGATATGTATTACAGCAGCAGTTCTCAACCTGTGGGTCACAACCCCTTTGGGGAATCCAACGACCCTTTCACAGGGGCCGCCCAATTCATAACAGTAGCAAAATGACAGTGATGAAGTATCAACAGAAATAATGTTATGGCTGGGCTGGGGGGGGTGGGTGTCACCACAACATGGAGAACTGTATTAAAGGGTTGTGGCATTAGGGAGGTTGAGAACCACTGTATTACAGGATCATTTAAGTTACACAGTATGAGTCATTGTGGATTTCTAAATCCTCCAATAATGGGGGTTGCCTCTAAATGGTTTTCAGGGAAATCATTCTGAAATATATATTTTGCTTTCCTACCTTCTTATATGGAGTGTGCTCAGAAATCCTTTTGCTTTTCCTTCTGATTTAAGCTTTCCGTGTGCCATTTATGAGCGTACAGGGCTCAGGTTTTGATTGAACTATGAACTGAGCCACCTTCCAGAACATGTGGGCATTCTACCTTTCCAACAGCTAGAAAATAGAAAGAGACTAAGTGTGCCAATTCTAAAACAAATTTCCACCTTCTCCTAATCAACTAGTGGAAATTACCCTGTAATATCCAGGGGAAATTCATAATTTCATGTGCTACTGATGGCATTGTAAGAAGTCCATGGGTTGCAATTTGTGTTTACCTTCTGTTAGATACCACTGAGTCAATCCTGATGCATAGTGGCCCTGTTTACAGCAGAACAAAACACTCCATCCCCAGGATTGTTGCTGTTTGAACCCATAGTTGTCCTCACTGTTCGCTTCATCTTCTTAATGGTCTTCCTGTTTTTCCCCCTCTGACCCTCTACTTTACCAAGCATGATGTCTTTCTTTAGGAAGCGGGCCCTCATGATCATATATCCGAAGTACAGGAGATATGAAGTCATGCCATCCTCACTTCTTTTCTTTCTTTTTTTTTTTTTTAAATCATTTTATTGGGGGCTCATACGACTCATCACAATCCATACATACATCCATTGTGTCAAGCACATTTGTACATTAATTGCCATCATTCTCAAAACATTTTCTTTCTACTTGAGCCATTGGTATCAGCTCCTCATTTTTTCCCCTCCCTCATGAACCCTTGATAATTTTATAAATTATTATTTTGTTATGTCTTACACTGTCCAACATCTCCCTTCACCCACTTTTCTGTTGTCCATCCCCCAGGGAGGAGGTTATATGTAGATCCTCACAATTAGTTCCCACTTTCTACTGCACCTTACCCTTACCCTCCCGGTATCACTACTCTCATTATTGGTCCTGAGAGGTTTATCTTTCCTGGATTCCCTGTGTTTCCAGTTCATTATCTGTACCAGTGTACATCCTATGGTCTAGCCGGATTTGTAAGGTAGAATTTGGATAATGATAGTGGGGGGTGTGGGGAGGAAGCATTAAAGAACTAGAGGAAAGTTGTATGTTTCATCAGTGCTATACTGCACCCTGACTGGCTGGTCTCCTCCCCGCCACTCTTCTGTAAGGGGATGTCCAGTGGCCTACAAATGGGCTTTGGGTCCCCACTCCGCATGCCCCATCATTCACAATGATATGATTTTTTGTTCTTTGATGACTGATACCTAATCCCATCGACACCTCGTGATCACACAGGCTGGTGTGCTACTTCCATGTGGGCTTTGTTGCTTCTCATCTAGATGGTCGCTTGTTTATCTTCAAGCCTTTAAGATAGCCATGCTCACTTCTAAGAAGCATTCTAGCTATACTTCTTCCAAACAGATTTGTTTGTTCTTCTGGCAGTCCATGGTATATTCAGTATTCTTTACCAACACTATCATTCAAATGTATCAATTCTTTTATAGTCTTTCTTAATCCTTATCCAGCTTTCATATGCATATAAGGCAATGGAGGATACCATGGCTTGGGTTAGGCACACACTTTAAAGAGGGATTTTTCAGATTTTCCAAATATGAAATATTTAATTTCATGACTTGTTTTCATGGGCATTGATTATGGACCCAAGTAAAATGAAATATTTGATAGCGTACATCTTCAAATTTCCCCTTTGATATTATGGAAAGTTGACCTCACTTTCAAATGTTTGAACCAACCAAGTAATGTTTGCAACAAATTCTTCTTGACGACCACCATCACTTGCAGCTCATGCAGTTTTTAAGTCATGGAAAAGGTTTCAGACCATTTCTTACACTAAGGCTGAATAAGAACCATATGCATCTGTCTCAGGTAATCTACAAATCAACTTAAAGACACACTTGGGCACAGATCGCATTTATTTTATATAATAATACAATCATCCCACCCCCGCAACATGCAAGTTTTACTAAACAACGGTAGAATTAAAAAAGCCACCTATAAACTTGCCTTGGAATTTTACTTGCTGAAAGGCCAAATGCTAATCAGGGAGTACTTGGTTACTAATGTTTCTTTCACTTGGTTGCATAGTCCCTAAGCCTGCAGGTTTCTTCTTAGCTCTGTGGTGTAGCTGCTTCTGTTTCTTTCCAGCTAAGCTCTGGGTCACAAGGTGGTTGCTTTATACCTAGCATGTGCCAGATTATGGACACAGTGATATGACCCAACCCTGTTCTGGAGTTAAGGCTCATTCTAATGTGCATGTGCTAACTAGAGGATTGCAGGCCTCATTACTATTTAACCCCATTGTTGAATAAACTCAAGATTTCTCTTCTCCCCTGTGTCTTACTTTCCTGTCTCCTTTTTCTCCCCCTATAATTGCACACGTTGCTCCTAATGACCCATTCAACTGTGGGGCTGGAACCCACAAGAATACAAATGCATATTATTGGGGATTAGTCATATAGGCATGGTTACCTATAGAGTTCACTTTGGTGTCCAGCCCCTCCTGAGATTGAGTTTACATTACATGGCCCAAGCCTCCCACTATAAATCATATTGTTAGAATAGATTATCTAGTCTGGCCCAAGGTTCCCAATAAACAAAAAACACTATCAAGTTAGACTTCCAAGAACTTGGAGATTACCTGCCAGGAAACAAGGGTAAAGATCATACCTGTCTTTGGATAATGATAATCTGACAGGTGGTCTGAACCCATCCCCGTCTCAAACTGCTCTGTGACCTCAGGCAAGCATTTTACCATTCCCGAGCCTCAGGTTCTCATTTGTAGATCCAATATCATGAAATCACTATAGGAAGCCCAACCCAACACCCAGGACATAACCAAGGGCACAGTAATTCAGGCATTCTGCCTCACGTGTGTTGTTCCAAAACTTCTTTTTGGTACAATGACTATTCCTTCTTCTTTTGATGCTTTCAGCATTGTTCTATGTGGAATCTCATGGAACCCTTCAACATTGAAACACGAGGCCTGGACTTTTCCTTCGGTTTTTTTCAGCTTGAGATGTGCTGAGCAGACTCTTTATTTTTGGCTTTCTGACTCCAAGACTTTGCACATTCTATTATAATAATTTGTGTTTTTTAGATACCCACTGAAATTTTCTGTTCAGCTTTTTTATCTCGTTATTTCTGCCATTTGCCTTAGCTACTCCTTCATTATGTGATGTAAATCCTAGCTTCCAGTTGTGTTTATGTACCCATTGTGATGTGAGTTGTCCATCATTTTAATGAGGCAGGATTAGGATGGAATTTATCTTATTCGAGGATGTGATTCAAAGGTGGTGACCCTTAGTTTCTTTCAGGTGTAGTCTATTTCCAATATATAGGAATGCTCTGCTGGTTTGCTCTTTTGCTCTGAATCCTGCATCTGGTTCGTCTCCATCTGACATTCAGTTCTCTTTCAGAGTTGAACCTATGGTCTGACCGGATTTGCTGGATTCTGTAGCCTTTTGAACTGGAATCTTGTCATCTAACCTACCAATTTGAATTTGTCTTATCCAGCAGCCATGAGTCCGGAAAACCATCCATACTAGTGTCACAGATTTTGAACCTGCCAGTCTCCACAACTGTGTATGACATTTCCTTGACATGTCATGAGTTCTGTGAGATATTGAAGCAAATTATGAAACACAGATTTGATTGGGAGTGTATTCTAGGGAGGAGTACTTGATGCCAGCAATAATAGAGTGGCAAAGCAGTTTGAAAGTTATATATTTTGTCATATTATATATTTTATCAAGGGTTCATGAGGGAGGGGGGAGCAGAGAGCGGGAAGGGAGGAGCAAAAAATGAGGACCTGATGCCTGGGGCTTAAGTGGAGAGCAAATGTTTTGAGAATGATGAGGGCAATGAATGTACAAATGTGCTTTTCACAATTGATGTATGTATGGATTGTGATAAGAGTCGTATGAGCCCCTAATAAAATGATTTTTTTTAAGTTATATATTAAGGACATCTTTAACCTCCATATCGTAGGGACTGCTAGATCTCTCTCGTGGGAGAAATACC